CTTGGCAACAAGTTATGAAGTTGTTATAGGGCTGAGTAATTCTTCACAAAAGGGCCAGTTGTGAGTGTGGGGGAAGTTCGTGAGACAGTGGGTAGAATGAAAGGGGGTAAGGCAGCTGAGATTGATGAGATAAAGATAGAAATGTTAAAAGCAGGAGGGGTTATACTTTTGAAGCGGTTGGTGCTATTATTTAATAAATATATGGAGGAGGGTAAGGTACCTAGGGATTGGCAGAGAGCATGCATAGTTCCTTTGTATAAAGGCAAAGGGGATAAAAGAGTGCAAACATTATAGGGGAATAAGTCTGTTGAGTATACCTGGTAAAGTGTATGTTAGAGTTATTAATGAAAGAATTAAGAGTAAGACAGAGAAGGATAGCAGATGAACAAGGAGGCTTTAGGAAAGGTAGGGGGTGTGTAGACCAAGTGCTTACAGTGAAACATATAGGTGAACAGTATTTAGATAAGGGTAAAGGGGTTTTTGTGGCATTTATGGATTTAGAAAAGGCATATGACAGGGTGGATAGGGGGGCAATGTGGCAGATGTTAAATGTGTGTGGTATAGGAGGTAGGTTACTGAAAGCAGTGAAGAGTTTTTACGAGAATATTGAGGATAATTGAGGTTCAGTCATGTATGCGCGGAGCCCCAGACCGACATAATGAGATTAGTCACGAGGGAGCATTCACCAAATTCAACTTCAATAACAAAAACATAAAGTGGGACCAAGTAAACCAAGTCCTAACCGATATAAGCTGGGAAGATATACTAAGCAACACAGACCCCAACTTATGCCTAGAACAGATTAACTCGGTGGCACTCGATGTATGCACAAGGCTTATTCCTCTAAGAAAAAGGAGGAGTAGATGTAAAACAGAAAGAGACAGGCGCTCCCTTTACAGGCGACGGAAAAGAATAACAGAGCGGCTAAAAGAGGTCAATATATCTGAAATGCGTAGGGAGACACTGGTCAGAGAAATAGCAAGCATCGAACTTAAGCTAAAAGAATCCTTTAGGAGTCAGGAATCGCGGGAAGAACTAAAAGCCATAAATGAAATCGAAAGAAACCCAAAGTATTTCTTCTCCTATGCCAAATCAAAATCGAGAACAGCGTCCAGTATTGGGCCCCTACTTAAACAAGATGGGTCCTACACAGATGACAGCAAGGAAATGAGTGAGCTACTCAAGTCCCAATTATGACTCAGTTTTTAGCAAGCCGCTAACCAGACTGAGAGTCGAAGATCAAAATGAATTTTTTATGAGAGAGCCACAAAATTTGATTAACACAAGCCTATCCGATGTTATCCTGACGCCAAATGACTTCGAACAGGCGATAAATGACATGCCCATGCACTCTGCCCCAGGGCCAGACTCATGGAACTCTGCGTTCATCAAGAACTGCAAGAAGCCCCTATCACGAGCCTTTTCCATCCTATGGAGAGGGAGCATGGACACGGGGGTCGTCCCACAGTTACTAAAAACAACAGACATAGCCCCACTCCACAAAGGGGCAGTAAAGAAACAGCAAAGAACTACAGACCAATAGCACTAACATCCCATATCATAAAAATCTTTGAAAGGGTCCTAAGAAGCAAGATCACCACCCATCTAGAAACCCATCAGTTACATAACCCAGGGCAACATGGGTTTAGAACAGGTCGCTCCTGTCTGTCTCAACTATTGGATCACTACGACAAGGTCCTAAATGCACTAGAAGACAAAAAGAATGCAGATGTAATATATACAGACTTTGCAAAAGCCTTCGACAGTGTGACCATGGCGTAATAGCGCACAAAATGCGTGCTAAAGGAATAACAGGAAAAGTCGGTCGATGGATCTATAATTTCCTCACTAACAGAACACAGAGAGTAGTCGTCAACAGAGTAAAGTCCGAGGCAGCTACGGTGAAAAGCTCTGTTCCACAAGGCACAGTACTCGCTCCCATCTTGTTCCTCATCCTCATATCCGACATAGACAAGGATGTCAGCCACAGCACCGTGTCTTCCTTTGCAGATGACACCCGAATCTGCATGACAGTGTCTTCCATTGCAGACACTGCAAAGCTCCAGGCGGACATCAACCAAATCTTTCAGTGGGCTGCAGAAAACAATATGAAGTTCAACGATGAGAAATTTCAATTACTCAGATATGGTAAACATGAGGAAATTAAATCTTCATCAGAGTACAAAACAAATTCTGGCCACAAAATAGAGCGAAACACCAACGTCAAAGACCTGGGAGTGATCATGTCGGAGGATCTCACCTTCAAGGACCATAACATTGTATCAATCGCATCTGCCTAGAAAAATGACAGGATGGATAATGAGAACCTTCAAAACTAGGGAGGCCAAGCCCATGATGACACTCTTCAGGTCACTTGTTCTATCTAGGCTGGAATATTGCTGCACACTAACAGCACCTTTCAAGGCAGGTGAAACTGCCGACCTAGAAAATGTACAGAGAACTTTCACGGCACGCATAACGGAGATAAAACACCTCAATTATTGGGAGCGCTTGAGGTTCCTAAACCTGTATTCCCTGGAATGCAGGAGGGAGAGATACATGATTATATACACCTGGAAAATCCTAGAGGGACTAGTACCGAACTTGCACACGAAAATCACTCACTACGAAAGCAAAAGACTTGGCAGACGATGCACCATCCCCCCAATGAAAAGCAGGGGTGTCACTAGCACGTTAAGAGACCATACAATAAGTGTCAGGGGCCCGAGACTGTTCAACTGCCTCCCAGCACACATAAGGGGGATTACCAACAGACCCCTGGCAGTCTTCAAGCTGGCACTGGACAAGCACCTAAAGTCAGTTCCGGATCAGCCGGGCTGTGGCTCGTACGTTGGTTTGCGTGCAGCCAGCAGCAACAGCCTGGTTGATCAGGCTCTGATCCACCAGGAGGCCTGGTCACAGACCGGGCCGCGGGGGCGTTGACCCCCGGAACTCTCTCCAGGTAATAGGGTTGTAAGAGAAGTGAATGCTAGGGTTTTGGCAAGAGGTGTGGAGTTAAAAGATAAAGAATCAAACACAAAGTGGGAGTTGTCACAGTTGCTCTTTGCTGATGACATGGTGCTTTTGGGAGGTTTGTGGATGAATTTGGTAGGGTATGTAAAAGAAGAAAATTAAAAGTGAATATAGGGAAGAGTAAGGTTATGAGGATAAAAAGATTAGGTGACGAAAGACTGGATATCAGATTGGAGGGAGAGAGTATGGAGGAGGTGAATGTATTCAGATATTTAGGAGTGGACGTGTCAGCAGATGGGTCTATGAAGGATGAGGTGAATCACAGAATTGATGAGAGGAAAAGGGTGAGTGGTGGACTTAGGAGTCTGTGGAGACAAAACTTTGTCTGTGGAAGCAAAAAGGCCAATGTATGAGAGTATAGTTGTACACTGTATAGTCCTTGTGGCTTAGCGCTTCTTTTTGATTATAATAATAATAATAGTTGTACCAACACTCTTATATGGGTGATGAATGTTGCAACGAGGAGAAGGTTGGAGGTAGTGGAGATGTCATGTCTGAGGGCAATGTGTGGTGTGACTATAATGCAGAGAATTCCTAGTTTGGAAGTTAGGAGAAGGTGTGGGATTACCAAAACTATTATCCAGAGGGCTGAGGAGGGGTTGTTGAGGTGGTTTGGACATGTAAAGAGAATGGAACAAAACAGAATGACTTCGAGTGTATAAATCAGTAGTGGAGGGAAGGCGAGGTAGGGGTTTGCCTAGGAAGGGTTGGAGGGAGGGGGTAAAGGAGGTTTTGTATGCGAGGGGCTTGGACTTCCGGCAAGCATGCATGAGCGTATTTGATAGGAGTGAATGGAGACAAATGGTTTTTAATAATTGACGTGCTGTTGGAGTGTGAGCAAAGTAACATTTATGAAGGGGTTCAGGGAAACCGGCAGGCCGGACTTGAGTCCTGGAGATGGGAAGTACAGTGCCTGCACTCTGAAGGAGGGGTGTTAATGTTGTAGTTTAAAAACTGGAGTGTAAAGCACCCTTCTGGCAAGACAGTGATGGAGTGAATGATGATGAAAAATTTTCTTTTTTGGGCCACCGTACCTTGGTGGGAATCGGCCGATGTGTTAAAAAAATATTAATAATAATAATAATAATAATAATAATAATAATAATAATAATAATAATAATAATAATAATAGAAGAAGTAGAATATATTTTACTCAGAGGAAAGCTCTAAGCTCGTAGGTGTCATATAGCACCTTTGGGACGGGAGATATTCAAATCTGATTCTTTAGATCAAGAGCTCGTCACTAGCACGAAGAGGAAAATAATGCAATAAGATAAAATAATACTATACTATCTCGAGGTTAAAAGAGGCAAAATGGCTTACCAATGATACATTACACAAGCATTAAAATTACAAAGCCGATCAGATGAGTCATTCTCTAGTTATAACACAGGTTCCATCAATTCCATTTTTTACACTTTTACAGCATTAACAAATTTGCCAGCACGAAAACGAAATTTAATAGGCACTATCCTGGTCCTAAGATACGTCAGTTATTAAATATTTAAGTCATTCAGAAGAGATAAACTGTTTAATGTGATTTAAGTGAATTACAAATTTCAAACAATTTTACACATAAAATGGTCCAATATGCACCTATATGTTTGATTTTCATTTTCCACCATCTCTGTATTTTTTAACATCTTTTATGAACGTTTGAAGCTCCACCACTGAGGATTTTGGTAGTTATCTTAACCATTCCAGGATGTTGGGAATGGCTTCAACAACTATGGTCATATGGCACGTGAGCATGCTAAGTTTTCCAGGAACTTAGTCCTCGTTACTATACACAAGTATTGAAAATCTGAAGCCGATTGGATATGGCGGTTTGTTGTTGCGAGCAAAATAAAGTTAGAGGACGGTAAAAAATCAGGCAAACTCTTAAAGGTAACTCTTCAGGAATACTTAATTAAAACAGTCAGATAAGGTAAAATTTAATTAAATTATAAGTAGAAGTAATTACAGATTAGAATAACTGGGTTAAATATCTATGTTTAGGAGTTTTTTTTTATCACAGCATTATAACTGTGCAGATTATTTTATGGGTTACTTAGAGTGTGAAAATATCTTCATTAATTCTGCTCTCCTGATAAGGGATGGCACTCCTTAATTTAAGGTTATATATATGTAAATCCAAACATAAAAGTGTAATGAACGCTGAATAAACTACAATAAAAGACGAGCACTGAATATTTCATCTTTAAACAGAAGAGCCTCAATATGGGATTGAAATAAACAGTCTTCTTTGTATCTGTGTTTTAGCTTCTTCATTTGGGTTTTTGAAATGCATATTTATTTATATTTCTTCTTCATAGTTAAACATCTGGAAGTCTTTTCTGTATATAGTGCGGAGGCTCTCGCGTTGTTTTTGAGAGAGGCTTGCCATGTAGGCTTCCAGAAGTGCTGAAGTGTTGCTTGGGACAAAAGTGGGAAAGTGCAGATCCTCTGGAGCTCCAATTAGTCTCAAGAAGTGTTCAGAGTCCTTGACTAGTGTCTCATACTTGCCAATGACGTCATAATGTATGTCACACGGGAAACATAATTGGGTATATGGTCTCCAGTGTTCATCAAAGCCATCTTTAGGACGATCACTTACATAACTGACGAACTCTGAGAACGTAAGGCCGTTGCCGGGCTTAGAAATGTTTGTATCACCGCCATCTTGGCGATAAGTTTTAGCAATATCATAGGCATAGTTTTTAATATAAAATTCCTCTCCTGTCCCTTCCAACTTGTCTCTATATGCGGAGAGGAGACGTTGGTATGGGTGTCTGACGATTAGAAATTTGATGTAGGTGTTAAGCTTCCGTTTAAGGGCTCTAGTCTGGAAACAAAGAAAGCTTTATTTAAGTAATTTAAATTACAAAAGAGTAATTGCATAAAATGTAAAATAATAGTCAATTTATATATTTTCATGCAAAGTATAAGGATATAAGAAAAGGTTTTCGTAGTGTAATGGCTATTAAATACGCCTAACACAAACAGGATTCGTAGTTCAAAGTAATAAATGTGGGCGTTCATGAATAGTCGAGAGGTGTAAGTTTATTCAGGTACAGGTACACGTAAATACAGTTACATACAATATCATACACAGCAGTATATGTACAGGTAAGACACATATGCAACAGTTAGGTATCTTTATTTCGAAACGTTTCGCCTACACAGTAGGCTTCTTCAGTCGAGTACAGAAAAGTTGATAGAAGCAGAAGATATTTGAAGACGATGTAATCAGTCCATCACCCTTGAAGTTTTGAGGTGGTCAGTCTATGGAACAATACTCTTCTCCAGACTGAGGGACTGACCACCTCAAAACTTCAAGGGTGATGGACTGATTACATCGTCTTCACATCTCCACACTTCCAACCTACTTTCTGTACTCGACTGAAGAAGGCTACTGTGTAGGCGAAACGTTTCGGATTAAAGATGCCTGACTGTTGCCTATGTGTCTTACTTACCAACCTGTCGGTATTATATACCATTTTGACACTCATAATCTAGTCATTGTCATTATCACATAAATAGTTCAACTTACCCAAATGTACTATTCTTAACTATTGTTATGTAACCATATTTATTTATTATGGCCTGGTCTGGGACACTTGAAATCAACCCAAGGTAAATATAATATAAATAAAGTGGAATGAACACGTGTCAGTGCTCAGTAATAACCCACATGAACACAACATCAGGAGATTAATTGATCTGTAAATTTTAGTTTCTGGGATCATCTGCTTAAGAGGATCCCAGGAGGAGGTCGAAATATACAGATCAATTAATCTCTTGAGTTTCTGTGTGCCTGTGGGTTATTATTGAACATACTGTATTAACATTGTAAAATAATAATAATAATAATAATAATAATAATAATAATAATAATAATAATAATAATAATGAATTATTATTAAACTCACACTTTTTTGTTGTTTAATCAGCATCATTCTGTCGTGAATCTTGTGCACTAGTTTCTTGGGAATCTTCATTGGATCAGTTGTCTGGGTTAAACCTGAGAGGATCATCCACAAGCGTTTCCAGTTAGTACAAGCTACCTGCAGTAATAAAACACACATAATATTACATGAAAACAATATAGATTAAGAACCATAATCATTCTTTATATTACCTAATCGTACAATTAGCCTTTGTAATAAAAGTTAAGAACATAAGAAAGAAGGAACACTGCAGCAGGCCTACTGGCCCATGCGAGGCAGGTCTAAGTCTCCTACCGGCTTAAGCCAATGCACCCAACCTAGTTAGGTCAGGTCACATTCACTTAAGGAAGGAGCACGGCAACTGAGCTAGTAGCACAAGCTAATCAGGTCCAACTCACACCCACCCACACCCTGTACACTGCTGACTGCTATTTACCACAGTTTTGTTCAAAGTCAAGCAATATTTAAGGTTGAAAGTAGTGATGAGTGATTTATCTGTACTTTTATATTAGCTTGTGATGTGATGAATGGTTTTGAAAACCGACAAGTTGAAGAATTGGGACACTTATGCAACATATGGGATCTCAATAGTAGTAACCAGTTACCAGTAACCAGTGTACCAGTAGATGACTCACTACCAACCGTCTCTGCGTGAATCAGTTAGCATTACCGTTTCTCCACTAACGGGATTCTTATTTGTTAATTACTGGCGGACTGACCTAAATGAATGGGCATAACCATCTGCTCTAGGTGCCAGTGTTTCTCTTCGGATCCAAATGAGAGGGCCAATTTTTCTGAGAAAAAAAAAAAACACTGACCTTACAATGTGAGGAATTTTGTATCTTATTAAAACTTTATTGAAAGTAAGAATTTAATAGCTAGAGACTTTTACATTAGACCTTAACTTAAATGTAGAATATATATATATATAATATATATATATATATATATATATATATATATATATATATATATATATATATATATATATATATATATATATATATACCTGCTTAAGACAGTAAGCATTATACTTTTTAATATTACCTATAATAGTAGCCTTAAAAGTAACATGCAAAGGTTATTACACTGAAAGGATTAATCACACTGCAGCCTAAGCAAAGAGAAGACGGCGGTTCCTTTCCGCAAACTTGTTGATCACACGATCAACAGGAACATGTACATCGTTATGGACGGCGAGTAGTGCGAGGCCGTTGAGGCGATCCTGACCTATGGTGCTCCTTAAGTATGTCTTCAGGCGTTTTTAGGGCTGAGAACGATCGTTCGGCTTCTGCATTTGAGACTGGCAGGGTCAGTAGGATGGTAAGGAGCTTCGCGATGTTCGGAAACATACGGGCCTCGGCGTATTCCTTTGCTTTCTTGACAGATTCGAAGGCCGGAGCGGAACATGTCCACTGCTGTGTTTCCGTCTGCACGAGCAAAAGTGACTCAACGTCACTTTCGTAGAGTTTTAGTGGCTTTAAGAACAGCATCCACGTTTGCTTTTGAGCCCCTGAGCAGCTCCTTCAATCGGAGAGCAACGGGCACAGTGTCATCATCAAATCTGCTCTTCAACTCAGCGATTACATGGTCAACGAACGGAATATACACCGAGCGCCGATAGTACTCCTCACCAGATGCCGCTGGGACATTCGCGCGTTGTGTCTGTCGTGCACAGACTTTGGGAATAGGGACGTCATCGTGAGCTGAACCCACTTCAACTAGAAGATCTTTGGCTTTCACGAACACAGCGTGGAAGTACTCCTCGGCATCCGCTCTAAATTTGGAGAATAGGGTAAATATGTTGAAACTTAGTCTAATAAAAATAATAATTATTATTATTATACTCTTTCACGGTAGGCTACCGTAGGCATAGCTCCAAGGCTCCAACCCACTCCACTCTGGCACTGTCCCACAAGGCCCCAAAACAGACATAAACACAATAGCCTAATGTATTAATCTTGCCCTGGCCCCTTTACCTGGTGCAGTAAGGTCACTGAATGGTTCATGAACCCTTACCCTCTCGTCCTGGTTCGTGCCCGGCTCGCAGTGAGTCAGTATGTGTGTTGGAACCTTGAAATACCGGGGGACGGTGACTCACCGTCACGGGGTCAACGCCGCATCAGCCGTCTGATGTTACCACGTGCTCTCAAAACATGCAACACTGCTTGACGCTCGCTGAGGCTGAGCCTCGCTCTCTCAGAGCCTGCTGCCTCTTTGGCTGTTATGCCAAATTTCTTTCAAGTTAGGACATTTCCACGATTTTTTTTTGCCACATCTCATTATTCTCAGCATCAATACAGCTCCAAAATGTTTATTATAAGTATCCAACCTTAAAAAGCATTTTTGTATTGTTATGGAGCTAGAGGTATTAGTGGTATGTAAACTTGCAAAGTTGCAAAACAAATTTAAATGCATCCCAAAGCAGTGGCGTAACTACGGGGAGCCTGGGGGGTCCGCCCCCCCTCACTAGAGCTGTGGGCCCCTCCACTTGAAAAGGAGTACCTGCATAGTTTTGTGTCTAGAAAAGTAATATATATATATATATATATATATATATATATATATATATATATATATATATATATATATATATATATATATATATATATATATATATATATATATATATATATATATATATTATATATAAGGCTTTAAAATCTCAAATAATTCGGGAGGGCATGCCCCCGCCATGTAAAGGATTGGCCCCTCCTTCCCCTCGCCCCAAAATGAAAACCCAGCTACGACACTGGGCCAAAGCCCAAAGAGGGCCAAAGGGGGAGGCCCGGGCCCCCTGGGCCCCTCCCCCCTTATATCCGCGCCTGCATCGAGGGAGTTACTGTGACGGGCTGGAGTTTTGAGACTCTATGACCGCGGGTTCAATCCCGGCCGGGGGTATGGTTTGGTTGTCTCACTTATCTCACCTGTGTGTGTGTGTGTGTGTGTACATGCTTGTGTGTGTGTATATATGTTTGTATGTTCGTATGGGTGTATGACCCACTTAATATTTGTATTTATAACTCATTACAACTGTGACCGGGTGTGGACGTGTCAGTGACTCATTATTTTGTAATTTGCTCATGACTGTAACCATGTATAGGAGTGAGGCTGATTCATTACCTCTGTAACTTGTCATGATTGTGACCAGATCTACATGGAGTTCATTACCTTTGTAACTAGTTCAGCTATCATAACTTTGGGGTCCAGTCCCTGGACCCATTATGTACCTTTGTAATCTTTTGACTACCACCCACAGGATGGGTATAGGGTGCATAATAAACATATTAAACTAAATTATCTCACCCAGATTACTTGTCTGTAATAATTCAGGTAATACCCTGTAAACCTCATGCAGGTAATTTGCTCACATAATAATAATAATTCACACAGAAACTTAAGTTGGTATGACATGAGCCTTTACCTGGGGATATGATGCAGAGATGGGGAAACAGCCTCAGATTATGCCCAGGTATCTGAAAGAGGATTTCCTTGCCAGGTAGCTAGGCAGGGCTTATCTAATTCCCTGCGCAATTATTTTGATACATCTACGACAGCATATACCTGGAGGGTGTTCCAAGGGTCAACGCCCCGATGGCTCGGTCCATTACCAGACCTCGCGGGGCCTGATCAACCAAGCTGTTACTGCTGCCCACATGCAAACCGACATATGAACCACAGCCCAGATGGTCAGGTACTGACTTTAGATACCTGTCCAGCTCCAGGGGTCTATTGGAAATCCCTCTTTTGTATGCTGGGAGGCACTGGAACAGTCTTGGACCTCTGATACTTACTGTGTTGTCTCTTAGCTTACTCATGGTGCCCCTGCTTTTCACTGGGAAATATTGCACCAAATTCATCTTAATCCAGCAAATATTACAACCTAAAGTCAGTTCCTGATCAGCCGGGCTGTGGCTCGTACGTTGGTTTGCGTGCAGCCAGCAGCAACAGCCTGGTTGATCAGGCGCTGATCCACCAGGAGGCCTGGTCACAGACCGGGCCGCGGGGGCGTTGACCCCCGAAACTCTCTCCAGGTAAACTCCAGGTAAACCTACAAAACTAGAAAATAGCTGGACCTCATCTTCACTAACAACGACGATCTGATATGTAATATAACCGTATCAAAGACAATACACATTACAGAGAATGAACATTGAAACAGGCATTCTGTATCCAGCCTCCAATAGACATATTTGTCTAACCTATTTTTATGTTACCCAAGTAATAACTTTTATATAATTTTACTCATGTGCGAGTTAATTGTTCTAACATTGTATTACTACTACTACTGCTACTCATATCACTACTACTACTACTACTACTACTACTACTACTAGTATTACACCTCACTCTGAGTCTTTATATACCCTCTGTGTCCATGTACTGTTTGTAACGGCTTGACAAAGCTCCTGGAGAGCGAAACGTTGCCACAATAAAAATGTCACATTAATTGCACTTGTGTCCTTTTACTTTACATACTGTCGGTAATTCTACCGACTTTATTATTACAATACACTCAGATCACAACATAACAGAGGTACAGACATGCATGCACAGGGCTCCTGACCAGCAAAATGTGATCAGTCATGAGGGTGTCTTCACAAAATTCAATTTCAATAACAAAAACATACAATGGGAACAAGTCAAACATGTCCTAATGAAACAAGCTGGGAAGGTATCCTAAACAACATTGATTCGAACCCATGCCTAGAAAAAATAAACTCTCTGGTTCTTGAGGTATGCTCAAGGCACATTCCATTAAGAAAAAGGAGAAGATGTAAACTAGAAAGAGAGAGATGCTCCCTATACAGACGAAGGCGAAGAGTAACAGAGCTGCTGAGAGGGGCCAATATATCTGAGATACGAAGGGAGGCACTAGTTAATGAAATTGCAAATATCGAACTTAAGCTGATGGATTTTTACAGGAGACAAGAATTGCAGGAAGGAAACTGAAAAAAAAAATACTTCTTCTCTTAGGCCAAATCTAAGGGAAATCAACATCCAATATTGGGCCCTGCTTAGGCGAGATGGGACATACACAGATGACAGCCAAGAAATGAGTGAGATACTAAAGTCCCAGTACGACTCAGTGTTCAGTGAGCTGCTGCCCAGACTAA